ATTTTGAGGAACAATTCATGAGTTCCAACAGCAAGAGAAAGACCACAAGTCACATCAGGGAGTCGGGTAAAAAAAGAAGTGCAGACCATGACCCACAGGAAGAATCAAGCACATCAAGAGCAACGAAACTGACACATACAATGGTCAGCAATAATAAAGGTTATACGGATGCAGTAGAAAATTCGTACAACATTGAAAATGATGATGATAATAATGAGAATGAAACAGTAGTAAACGACGACGGTGATGAGAGTTGTGACACTGAATAATTTTTATTATTTGTATTTTTTTTTTTCGCAATAAAAATTACGTGAAAACGTTGATCGCGCCAAAAACTGAAAAGACCAGGCGCGGCTAGACGCAAAAGGAGACAATCGGCGAGAAAACTGCACGACTTGCGAGTTTTGGAAGGAGATCGTGACACGACAAATGTTAAATCTTTTTTTTGTTAGGATTTGTATCTTCCTGGTTTTAATATAACAAAGTTTACTTGCAAGAAAACCATGTCATTATATAAAATGTCAAGTAATCGAAATAAAATTTTCAAAGATTTGTTAATATTGTTAAAAAATAATAATAAAGGTTAAATTTTAGTTATTCAATTAAAATATTATCTTTCCTTTCCATTCCTTCTCATGTAAAAATTAGTTTATTAATTCTTTAAAATAATAATAATAATAATAATAATAATAATAATAATAATAATAATTTAATGAAGATGGGATACAGAGGCGAAAATACATTACCAATTTACCTAGTAATACTATTCCTGAATCTAAATTCAAACCCTTAGATGGTATAAGAGTATTAGAACTTGGGCAGGTAATCTTTATTAACTATTAATTATAGGAAGGGGAAAATAAACAAATATTCATATTTGTTCGCATTTATTTAGTTGATAGCTGGGCCATTTTGTGGAACTATTCTCGGGTGTGTATAACCAAATATATTGAATATTGGTTGATAATTAATGGTTGATTTAATGCTGATTTCATGTTGATTCTAATAAATTGAAGTTATTATGGTGCTGAAGTGGTAAGTAAAATTAATCATCAATATTAATATATAAATAATTAATATTATATTTATATGTCATAATAATTAAAAGATAAAAGTAGAACCACCAAAAACAGGGGATCCATTAAGAGTTTGGAGACATTTAGATATTGATGGGGTAAGTCCTTGGTTCAGATCAATGGGTAGAAATAAAAAATCTTGTGAGATTAATTTGCGTACTGATGATGGAAGAAAGTAATTATTATTACTATTATTATTACTTTTAAACCAAAAAATAAATATTGTCTGTTGTTTATTTGTAATTTATCATTATAAAAGGCTTGTACGTAAATTAGCTGATAGTTCAGATATTTTAATTGAAAATTTTCGACCTGGTACAATGGAAAAATGGAATCTTGGTCCTGGTAATAAATAATTCAAAGAAATATATAATGCATAGTAATGAGATTTAACAATTAAATTTTTTGTTTTCAAAATAGATGAGCTTTCTAAAACTAATCCTTCATTGATATACACTCGTGTATCAGGATATGGTCAAACTGGTCCATATGCATTAAAACCTGGATATGCTTCAGTTTGTGAGGTGCCCAAACTATATATCAATTTATTTATACATAGAATATACATGCACATGTACATTTACATATACACATATTAATAAATACAGGCAATGGCAGGCTTTCGACATATAAATGGTTTTCCAAACCAACCACCAGTCAGACCAAATATTTCACTAGGTGATTCAGTAGCTGGATTGACTGCTGCATTAGGATCTGTTATGGGGTTATTGGCCAGAGATAAAATAAAATCTAACACTGTTGATACTATGATGATAACAGGCCAAGTGATTGATGTGGCAATTTATGAAAGCATGTTTAATATGATGGAAGGAATATTACCAGAATATGATAGATTTGGAGAGGTAGATCCATTTATTATCATTTGGAATTATTTTAATTATTACTTGGAATACTTGGAGAAAGAAATGACATTTAGTTCTATCTATTATTTATTAATTGACAGATAAGACAGCCATCTGGCACAACAGTTACTGGTATAGTTCCAACAAATGCATATCAATGTTCTGATTCCAAATATGTTATCATAGGTGGTAATGGTGACTCAATTTATAAAAGACTTATGGAGGCAGCCGGTAGAATAGATTTGACAGGTGAAAAGTATGCCACAAATAAACAGAGAGTTAAACATCAACAATTGATTGATGATGCAATAAATAATTGGACAAAGACTTTAACATCAAAACAAGTAATTGAGAGTTTGGAACAGGTTGGTGTACCATGTGGTGGCATTTATAATATAAAGGATATTGTGAATGATGAGCATGTGAAGGAACGTGAATTATTGGAAGTGGTTAAAGTTGGTGGCAATAATTCTGACAATGGTTGGAATTTAAAGGTGAGAGAATATTGTTGATAGATTATATTATTATTGCAATATGTTTATTATCTCATTTATTTATTTGCGATACAAAGATTCCGGCAATTACACCAAAATTAACATCTACACCTGGTAAAACTAATTGGGCAGGTCCAGATTTAGGTCAACATAACAAAGAAATATTTGTAAATGTATTGAAATTAAGTGAACAAGAAATTATAAAATTACAAGAAAGTCAAATTATTGGAAAAACTTTATGAAACAAAATTTTTTATCTTTAATTAAATGTGTATTATATATGATCATAATAATATACAAGATGTTTACACGATAAAATAGATTATTAAATAAATAAAGTATATACACTACCTGGACAAAAATTTGTGAATGATGTTTTCATTAATTACACAAAATTCTACATAATAGAAATACATAAGATTTTAACGTTAGATAGCCTAGGTCTTTGTTCGTTTTCATATAAAATTTGATGTTTTTGTATTTCTAATACTTTATTAATTAAAAAAAAAACGAAATATTTTTTTTTGAAAAGATTTTCAAAATGTCAATTGAAAAAAACTAATTCAAAATAATTTAGCTTTAAGAAATAAAAATAAAAAGATAAATAAAAAGATAATAAATAAATAAATTAAATTTATAGTGAAGATTAAATTAGTCATTCGTCGGTTCTTTCTTTTAATTATTAGAATCTAATGCAATCAATGCAGATAAAAATATTGTTAGTAATAATTAATGGATAGTAAGTTCCAATTAATTAATGAAATTTTTATTCACCATCAACATTTTAGAGAAAAGAGTTAAAATCAAGACTATTTAACGAACTATCATTACTTGTATTAATTTTCAAGCTTTTAGATTTAACAATCTCTTCATCTAAGATTCTACTTTTATGATACGCATCTTGATGTGTTTTGTGTACTTGTTGCGAATTGCTAATACCACTACTGCTCTGCTACCATCATTATTAAAATTACGCTTTTTGATTTTAAAAAATTTGAATAATCTTTTTATTAAACTATTATTATTTTTCAAAATTTTGTTTTCACAAATTTCCTTATATTTATTATCAGAAAATTCTTTAAGCTCTCCATTTAGATGGATCCACGTTCCAACACTTCTGCATCATTTGCACATAATCATCAGGCATTCCAGGCAATATTGGTGGTCGTAAACCTTCACATATATCAAAAATTAAGCAATGATTGTGAGCTCTGCCATCAAATGGTGGATGACCTGCAAATATTTCCCACATTAACATCCCAGCACTATAAATATCAGATTCTTTGCATTAGTTTTGCCTCTAAGTAGTTCGGGTGCAACATATGATACAATTCCATAGATTTTATTTGATGATTTTTCGTCAACTGGTCCACATAATCCCAAGTCTGTAATATAACAATTACCTCTACTCATAAGTATATTACCACTATGTAAATCACAATGGATTAAATCTTTTTCATGTATCCAATATAATGCATCACATAAATATCTAAAGATTGTGATTTTGTTCTTTAATGTCAAATCAGAATGATTTTTTTGTAAATAATTCCTTAAATTTCCTTCTGGAGCATAACTTAAAACTATTGCATAATTTCCATAATCTGGGAATTTAGTTATACCATAGCAAGGAACAATTGTTGATGATTTAATTTTACAATAATTTATTGCCTGAAAATAAATATAAATAAAACCAATTAGTATATTATATAATGAAGTATGGTTTATTTTGTTTTAAACAATAACTAATACCAACCTCATAAAAAAAGCTTTTTCCTGGATCATTTGAATTATTTAAACTTTTTAATACTACTTCTTGATTTCCAAAATAACTAAATTCTTTTTCATTCTCATTATAATCACAAATAGCTCCTCTTGCCCATGTAGCAGTATAAATTGAACTAAATCCACCATCAGCTAATTTTGTAATATCACCAAATTGCTCAAAAGGTATCCATTCTAAAATATAGCCTGGCAAAGATGATTCAATTTGACATTGTTGAATAAAATCATTAATTATGGAATTTCCGGATGTCCAAGTAATGAATAGACTCTGTAATTGTAAGCTAATACAACTTTCACAGAATCTATCAGAATATCTTGTTGATCCACATTCATTGCATTCTCTTGGTTTTCCTGATTTATAAATTGCATTAGATAATTCAAACTCGTAAATAAACTTTTTTTTAGAATATTTTTTTTCATTGCCAGAAAGCTCCTTGTTTTTTCTGACCAATGAAAAAAAATAATCTTTTATACTTTCTCTATCAGAATTAACCAAAGCGTTATTATACATTTCATTATTAATTTTATATATAAACTCTCTTCTTTGTGGTGATAATAATGATAATAAATTATTATATGACATGGTGTAAAAATAAGAATTTAAAAATTTGACTCGATTAATCTACAGTATTGCGTTTTGTTGAATTGAATAAAATGGAGAAAACAATAAAAAAAAATTTTTTTTTTTCAAGAATGACGGACGATAATTCCATCTTTATTTATACGGAATTATTGTTTATCAGCTTACCTATCAAGTCATATGCTTCATAAGATAAATATAGATTTTGTAAAAGTAACTTTCTACCTATATGTATAGCTTGGTTTTGCAAACAAGTTAATTAACATGAATAAAAAGAAATTTGCCGTGTCACGCGGCCTCTTTTTAATTTTTAATTTCTTATTATGTTTAGTTTTTTCAGCCAATTTTTTATTTTTTTTAAAGTGCTTTGTTATCGTTATGCGATTCCAATTTTTTCCCACTCTCCCAAATTTTCTCTATTCGAGAAAAGATTCGTTATATAGTTAGGGGAAAAAAAGATCGAGAGAGGAAGTAAGATCTTGATTATTGGTCATCTAATCGGGATTTAAATCCTTTTGTTGTTATTGTTAGAAAAATAGATCAAATTTTTTTTTGAAAATGCAAAACAGGAATTGATATCTATTACCTTCTCTCGCTGTTAAAGTAATCGACTAAGAAAATGAAATCATGATGCTAATAATTCGTATGGTTAAAAAAAAATGATCGATCGAAACTATTTTAAATTACCTCAAAAAAAAACAGGTTTATTCCGTTGTTGTTAAATAGACCAAGTCTTTTTAGGATAACTCGCAAAAATTTTGAATATGAAAATAATTGCCTTTTCTTGGTATATAATTAATTCGATTGTTAATTTTAAAAGATGCTTGAACAAAATGGGCCAATAAATTTAATTACGTAAGGTCCTATTGCATTTCTTAAAAAAAATTATTCAGATTTTCTAAAATTAAAAGACATGAAATTGATTTTAATAATTATAGTAGGAACAGCAGTGGTAGTATTGGTAGATATTCTAGATATTCGCAACGAGTACACAAATCGCATCCAGATTCGTATCATATAAGTAGAATATTAGATGAAGAAATTACTAAATTTAAAATATTAACAGTAGTTCATTATTAAATAATCTTGATCTTCTCTCAAATGTTGATATTATTAACAAAGGTAAATAAAAATTTTATTTGGGAAATTACTATCCGTTAATTATTTGTTGCTAACAATAATTTTTATTCCGATTTATTTAATTAGATTATCGTAATAATAGTGAAGAAAAAGAAGACTAATTTCCATTATAATAATAAATTTTTATTTTATAAATTATTAGAATGATGAGCCTTTTTACAGTTTTCTAATTCTTGGTAGATTTTTGATCAACTGTTAACACCGATTATTTAATATTAACAATTATGGACGATTAAATTCGGTTAATTACGAATTTGTATCGGTTCTCGCTTGTTGTACCTAGCTAGAAAGCTTCGGCGAATCTGTAAGCACGTTTAATATATCAGATAACTGTAAATAAAGAAGGCTCTTTTATAATTTTATAAAATTCCTTTTATATTCAGTTTATTTCGATCGTTTATATTTATTTGGCCAATTGCAGGCTCGCTTTGGCTTATTTACAAAACAACTTGTTTAACAGTCTTATGTTTACGATTACAATAACACTACTAGTATTTCCAACTTAATCATTGGACAATGCTTCTTCACTAACCGTTATCAACGCTTGCTAATTAACCAATGTCAGTTACTAAACCCTTGCTTACTCGTTAAATAAATTACGTTATTAACACTCACTAGTTAATCGACGTAATCTCAACCTTCGATTACTCGCTAAAGCAAATAAACGTAGCATTTTACCAAGGCTCTCTACACTTGTTGCTTTTGCCAAAGCGCTTTAACGATTTTAAAAGATTGTTTTTTAAAAATAGTGATTCCGATTAGAATGTTAATTTTGTATTTATTTACTCTCCTGCTCTTTCAAGCGAGGATCAGAATCTCTACAATATTTGTAACAGATCGATTCAAAAATATTTAAATTGTTTCGATGTTAATCGCTAGTTAAAAAACCCCATTACAATAATTATGTAATTGAACTCTGAACACGTTCATGAACTTTGAACTGAGCTTGAACTGAACGTCAAACATTATATGTTCAGGTTCTTGTTCAAATTCAGTTCAATTCAAGCTCCGAGTTCTGAGTTCAATTGAACTTTGATCATACGTACCAAATTGAACGCGTTAGTAATATTAATTTTAATTTTTTATTTTTTTATCAAGTAGTATCAATAATCATATACATACATGTATGAATAATGGATTAATTCTATTTGTAATTGATTAAATGTCCATGTGCGCTTGCTTAAGCCATTAAGCATGATATACTTTTAACAAATTAGATCGTAACACACTGTATATATGCGTGGAATCCTTGGATTGTAACTACCGAGTTGATGTAGTATCCCTGATAACAACCATATTAATATGATAGTTACATATGAAGTCACGTGTCTTATATAGGTAAAGCTTTACATGTAAGGAGAAAAATGAATGTTACTATTATAAAAAAATTTCTAATAGCCTGGATTATAATAATCCAGGGCCCTGTGTCAACGGTAGTATTGAATTTGTATAAATGTGTAAAACCTGTTAGTGTTTCTATTATTGTCTTGTGTGTATTTGGTTTTACCAATATCAATTAATTGTGATTATCCATCAAAAGTTTTTGTAGTCCATGTATCAAACAAAGCTGTATTTGTTGAATAAACTGTTGGTACATAATCTATAAGACTAGATTTTTAATAGTGTGTCAGTGATGCCTGAGTGAATGAGTTTATATCTATTTTTGGAACGATTTGTTTTATTGGCAATGATACTTTAAACTGCTATATACACTTACCTACCAAAAGTGCCCAAGAACTAACCCAAGTAATAAAATTATGTACAAAACTTCATATTTTAGTACGTATGAAAAATTTTCATCGAAAGTTTTTTTAGCCACATAATGATTTATGTATGAGCTTTTTTTGAGTAATTAACAAAAGTAGGCAGGTCTTTTGATAGGGGATACAGAATTTTTTTTACTTGTAAAAAAAATCCATCAAGGGTGTTTTATATACGCGCCAAAGCTTGTTAGAATGAACCCTAATTATGATTGTGATAACAATATAATGAATATTGAGTATAATTCTTTATAAAAGACCATGGAAAAGGAGCGCAATGTTATCTAATTCTTCGATAGCAATAATAATGATGATGATGATAATGATATGCGAATGAATCATAATAAATAAAGAGTTGTCGTAGATAGATATATAGATACTTCACTAAAAAAAAAATTTTTGATAAAAAGTAACAAGTTGAAAATGAAGTAAAAAAGAAAGAAATAATTCAACAAGAAAATCAAGGTCATCAAAAAATAAGTATGACTTTTCAACATTTTTATTTATTGTTATGTTGAAAGTAAGGTTAAAATATTCTGATAAATAAATAAATAACAAGGAATGTATATATACTATTATTAATTTGACTGCTATCAATTACTATTTCCAGTGCCATTATCAGTTTTATCTTTCCTGTATTTTTTACCAATTTGATGAATACGTTCCACAAACATAGCAACACCAGGAATAACTCCCATTTCTGAATCAGAAAATAACGATTTACCCGGACTCGCAACAATTTGTTCACCAGCACCCAAACCACTATTAAAATAGTCATCGCTTTCTTTAATATCTCCTTTGCCAATATCGCCATCTTTACCAACAACATTTTTTTCAGGTGTTGATTGTTGTGATGTTGCTGATGCTGATAAAGATTGTGTTGATGATAAATATTTATCATAATTTGATAAAGACATTTCTATAGTGTTACAAACAAATGAATCTCTTGATTTTAAACGTGAATATTTTGCCAACATGTTAATTTCTTCCATTAATGTCTCATGTCTAAATGATATTCTAACATTTGGTGTATTCGTTCTATGAATGTCTATAATAATAAATATGAAATTAAAAACAACAGAGAAATATTTATGCATGAATGTACATATAATATATATTGGTTATAAACGAATATTTGTATCAATAATAAATTTGTTACCATTTCCATCAGGACCTGGTAAGAACCATTTTGACCCGAGCCAATGTTTCTTTAACATCATTTCAAATCCACTTTGCAATACCGAATTACGTGCTAATTCACACATATCACAAGCAGATAGTTTCCAAATCTATTTTATTATTATATATATGTAATATAAATATGTTGGTTGTAAATAAACATTAGTACATAAATATATTTGAACAATAATATTTACATGCCTACCTGTGCAGCTACACTGTACTCTTCAATCAATGGCTCTTTAGTGTAATGAAATTGTAATGGATCATCGGTACTAAGACTAACATTCAATCCTTTTTGAAAAAAGCTCATGAATGGATTTCTTTCATAAGTTAAAAACAAAGCATTATTCGATAATGGCGACATTGCAATTCCAATTTGTTTCAAATAATATAAATATTGCAATGCAGGAACTTTTCTCAACAAAATGCCATGTGAGATTGAATGTGATGTCAGGAAAGCCGATGTTAAATGATCAGTGTCACCTGCTTCACCAGCATGAGGTCTCAAAACAAAAGTATTGAATCCGCGTTCTTTCCGCCACTGGTTCAAACTGATCATATTTGCATACATGTAGTACAAGTAGTAGGAGTAGGGCGGGTTGAGGTCGGTGTCCCATTTTTTTGGTACTGGATATTTTTTGTGAATACGTCTTTCTGCTTTCGACTCGTCATCCACGCTGTCAAATCCAATTACGCGTTGTAAAAATATGTGTAGTTCGGGATTTTTCTTCGGGTTTTTTGTAACTTCGTACAATGGCTCATATAAATCTATTGAAGAAATTTTTAGGCGGGTGAGCAAAATCAAATATTTAATTAAATATAACTTCTAATCATTCAACTCGTAATTCTTGATTTATAATTATAATTAAATAGTACAAACTTTTTATAACATCTTCGAAATTTTCAACAGTCTTGGTAGATTTGTAGATACTATAAAGCCTAGGCATTTGAATTAACCACCTGACATTTGGTGAAAATATTTTATTGTGTACCACCCATTTTGCAAGTTTGCTCCATTCAGATTTTGATCTATAAAGAATTGTTTGTGGTGATTGAATAAATGTATAGATGAAATTAATAAATTATAAATATTGTATGGATTTTTTACTACCTTCCATATATCGATATTCGATATTCAGCCATTTGATATTTACTTGACTCCAAATCTGAAATAACCTCTATATAATTCACCAAAAAAATACACAGATACTTATGAACCACAATAAATTAATAAATAAATAAAATAAATAAAATGCTTATTAATTAACCTTTAGTTAATTCAGCAAAATATCTTCCTTGAACATAATTATCAGATTTCAGAAAAATTTCTCGGAGTCTAGATTCACCAATTGGATTATACTTTAGATTAAATTTATCAAATCTATGAAACGTATCTGTATGTGCCTATTATTATTATTATTATTATTATTATTACATGTCATTATTATCAAATGTGCACTTGTGCCTATGTATGTGAACAATATATATGTGAAAGATGCTGATAACACTTACATGCATGTCCAGTGTATCGATACTAAGATCGTAAGCTGTCAAGCCTAAACTTTTAAATACTTCAATTAATGTGAGAACTTTGTTATCTCTAAAAATTACTTCATCCTATATAATTAATTGATTGATTAATTAATAAATTGCATAATATATTTCAATAAATATACCATTTCATAATCGATAATTACTCACATTTCCATTTCTCTTTAATTTTGATTTGATAAACCTTAGAAGATGCTTAGAATTCATACAAGATGATATATGAACATGAGTATCAACTTTTCTAACATTATAAAAATCTCTATGTGGAACTTTCTATTTTTTTTATTTTTTTTTTTTTTTGTGAAAAAACTACATTAAATTTTTTTTATTAAATATTCCCTATTTTTTCAAAAAAAAAAAAAAAAAAAAAAAAAAGCAAACCTTCGATTCAGCCATCTCTTGATATTCTTTGAGTAGAGTATACATGTTCCATTTACTTTCCAGATATCGTAAACGTCTATAAGCATAAGTTTTTGTCGGGCCATCAGAAATCACATTTAATATAAAATCTAAATCCATAAAATATTCTTTGGTGGATGGAACCAAGTATAAAGGTGATGACGATAGTTGTGATGACGATAGTGGTGATAGTGGTGATGATGATCGCGATGGTGATGATGGTGATGGTGATGGTGATGGTGAACTTTTGTCCTTGTGGTTTTTGATTTTATGATTTCTAAGATCTTCTTCTGATTTATAAACATAATAAACTCCATCTGTGGATAATTCATATACATACTAATATTATTTAGCAAAAAATTTTGATGTTATGATTAATATTAAAATGTTATATAATTCCTTCCTCTTCTCCATTTCTCTCCCCATTCCTCTCTCTTTTCACATATATTACCTGATGATCACCAGGTATCTCACACTCTTCAACATGAAAATCTTCACCAACAATTTTCACTGCTTTTTTTTTATTGAGGTTAGAATGTTTCGCATAATAATCAGCAGCAGAAGACGGGGCAGGTGGTGATGGATAAATTTTATAATCCTCATGAAATTGCAAATTATTTTTTTTTCATAGAATCATATGTATATAAATTATAATGATGAATTCAACACTCAAATCAAAAGATTGCCATGCTTGTTCAAAATCTTGTTGAGAGATATCAAAATACTCTTTTAGTTCAGTGTGAAACTAAGGAAAATCAGAAATGGCATTTTGCATCAGGAGAAAAATCAACTGAAAGAGCAAAACTTTTGGCTAAATATTTTCCTGAATAATTATTTAGAAAATTATTCTATTGAAAAACATTATAATCAACTTGTTGCTAATAATTATTTTATTGAGCATTTAAAAAAATAGATAATTCAAGGTCATCATATATCATAGAAGAAAATGAACAAAAAGGCCTAAGATAACTACTGACAACAATGCAATTGAAGCTCCTATTTATGAAACTTTGAAAGATTACATTCATCCAATAATTATAGACATAAGAAAATTCATATACATACTAATATTATTTAGCAAAAAATTTTGATGTTATGATTAATATTAAAATGTTATATAATTCCTTCCTCTTCTCCATTTCTCTCCCCATTCCTCTCTCTTTTCACATATATTACCTGATGATCACCAGGTATCTCACACTCTTCAACATGAAAATCTTCACCAACAATTTTCACTGCTTTTTTTTTATTGAGGTTAGAATGTTTCGCATAATAATCAGCAGCAGAAGACGGGGCAGGTGGTGATGGATAAATTTTATAATCCTCATGATCCTTTGGATTATCACCAAGTCGTTGTAATGAGAATTTCATATATTTATCGCGCAATTCAAGACATTTATGAAAATCAGTGTATAAATTATTTAATTCCTCTTTAATTTGTTTCTCTAATTAATATGAAATCCAAAAAATTAAAAAGTGAAATCATTGTAATTATTATCATAATAATTATCGCAATAATATAAATATGGCTTACCAGCAACTTCTGCAGTATCATTAAATTTACCATTGTCAACTTCAACACCAACACCATCTCTATCCTCAACAAGACTGCCACTAACAGTAGTAGCATGAGATGCTGAACTTGTAGAATTAGGTTCCAGACTATGTTCAGATGTTGTTGTCATCATTGTTTTAGATCTCCTTGCCCAATAAGCTGAATCATTCTTTACATAAAATTGAAATTGAAATTGAAATTGAAATTGAAATTGAAACTTTTTATCAATCCAATTTCATTAAATAAAATTTAGAAAATTATCTCACGCTTTGAATAGTTTTATCAACATGATAAGAGTAATAGGGTGTACTCATTTTACTAAAATCTTGTCTTGTTCTATTATTATTATTTGTTAAATCATCATCAACTTCTTCTTCATAGTCATCTAATGGTGACGAAGAACGAACAATGTCGTTGTTATCAACATCTTTATCAATATTTGATGGTGTAGTTGCAGTTTCCTCTTCCTTTGACATTCTTTTATACAAAACAGGAAATTTTGATCAAAAAAATGTCGATCAATCAGTATTGATTGCGCAACCATAATATCTGTCTATTTGCATACTGTCGGAACAAATGAATTTCTATGCAAAATAGGCAGACAGAGTGTTCACGTTATCGCGTGGTTCCTGATCCTCTTTTGCTTCTTCAAAATCAGTTTGAATCATTATTTTAAATGATTTGGTCGTTTATCCTTCCTTTCTTATTTATTTAATTTGCTCAAGGTGAAGAAACAAGAGATGATCACGTGACATACATCATACATGGTCGCGTCATGATTTTCGATTGTAAAAATTTCAACTTGAATTTTATTACATTTATAATTTTTAATAATAAAAAAGTATCTTTAAATAGTGAACGTTAACAAATCTGTCTTAAAATAAAACAACAACCTAGGGACTGTTCAGATGAGATTAAAAGCTAGATAGTGTAAAAAAGATTTATTATGATTCTACGAAACAAGCCACTATTAATGATTTTTTTTTTAAATAATACTTGTAAATCTTTCACTAAATAATAATTATATTGTGGGGACCAGGATCATTTTTTATGCTTACGTTATGCAAATAGCTCACAAGTCACAATATGGGACCATGACATCTTTATGCAAATAGACAGGTGCGGCTGTATTTCAAACAAACAGTGAATCAGAAACTAAATCAGCAAGCAGTAATGTTAAATTACCCGCATATGTCAAAAATACTTGTGCAAACCGTAACCTATTATTGATTTATATTCTCACACACATATATATATGTATGTATATGTATGTGTGTATTAATCATTATATCCTATACATTGTTGATGGAATTGAATAGTTCTTTTCTTTTGTTGAAAAAGATGATGCAATTCCATCATTTACTCTCCTTGCGCTGAATATGATAATACATTTACTGGTGTGGGCAATTATATTGATACAGAATTATTGTAAGCATGTGTAAAGATGTAAATGTTTACATGAATAAATATGTGTATGTACACATTATTTAAATAATTTAAATAGGTTCAACAATATATATATATATCAATATACCAAGAAACAATGGCGGAATTGAACTCCAATCGGAAACTTGCAAACTAGACTACGGTGCAGATTATCTATAATCATTAATTGCTTATAGTAACAATTGGTCAACTTCAAAATACTAAAACAAAAAAAAATTATATCATTTT